GAGGCTTAGAAAAGAAAAAGAGAAGGCCAGGCACAGTGGCTCATGCCTGTAATCCCAGCACTTTGGGAGGCCAAGGCAGGTGAATCACAAGGTCAGGAGTGTGAGACCAGCCTGGCCAACATGATGAAACTCTGTCTCTACTAAAAATACAAAAAATTAGCTGGGCATAGTGGTAGGTGGCTGTAATCCCAGCTACTTGGGAGGCTGAGGCAGGAGAATTGCCTGAACTCGGGAGGTGGAGGTTACAGTGAGCCAAGATCATGCCACTGTACTCCAGCCTGGGAGACAGAGTGAGACTCTGTCTCAAAAAGAAAGAAAAGAAAAGTAAAATTTTCTGCTACAGCAGTCACTGAGGAGCAGCAGCCATAGTTCTGCATTATCCCATGGCATGGGCCTCAACCAGGGCCCAGTGTGAACAAGAATGTGAGCAAGCTGAGGCAGGGCTGCCATCCTGGATACCTCACAAAAGCACACAAAGTGTATGTAAGACATCATCTGGGAGGTGTGTGGCTTCCCCCAGAGAAGTGGCATACTATGAAGCCGCTCAAAATCTCCAAAGACAAATGGGTCCTCAAGTTCTTTTAGAACAGGATGAAAACACACATCTGCACCAAGAGGAAGAAAGTGGAGCTGAAGCGGCAACCTCACTGCCATGAGGAAAGCAGCTGCCAAGAAGGTCTGAACCCCTACCCCACTTTGGGCATAATAAAACCTATAAAGAAAAAAAAATGAAAGTGAAATAAAAACTTGTTTGGCAAACAGAAGCTGAGAGAATGCACTGCCTACAAATCTGTTAAAATAAGTAATATTAAAGGAAGACCTTCAAGCAATGGAGGGGTATGATACCAGAAAGAAATTTGAATCTACGCAAATAAATGAAGAATATTGAGAATAATAAAAATGAGAGTAAATATAAAGGATATTTCCCCGATTTTAATCACTTAAAATGACAACTGACTATATAAAGCAAAATTAATAACAACGAATTATAGGGTTTAAAAAATATAGAAAAGTAAAATGCATAACCACAACAGGAAGTCAGAGAAACTTAGAGAAATAACATATGTGACCGCAACAGACGTCAGAGAAAAAAAAGTGAACAGAGTAAGTGACAAAAAAAAAAAAAAGTTATTAATGATGAGCCTCAATAACTTCAGTAAGTGCAAATTGTCTAATCACCCTAACTAAAGGGCAAAGTACGTCAAATTAAATTTTTAAGAGGAAGACCCAATTATATGCTTTCTAAAAGAAACCAATTTAAAGATAGGCTAAAAGTAAAACACAGGAAAAAAAAAAAAACATTCCATGCAAACACCAGTCAAAATAAAACTGGAGTAGCTGCATTAATATCAAACAAAGCAGATTTCAGAACAAGGAATAAAGAGAAATATGCAATAATAAGGTGGTCAAGTCATCAAAAAGACACACCACCACTAACTGAATATGTATATAACAACGAAGCTTCAAAATGCATAAAACAAAAACTAATAAAACTGAAAGAGGTAGACAAATCCAAATTTATAGTTGGAGACTTTAACACTTGACTTTAACACTTGGGCTATGCCCAAGTAGACAGAAAATCGTAACAGATATAGAGCCTGAAAGAAGAAATCAAGAGGGAAATTAGAACATATTTTAAATTGAATGAAAGTAAAAATCCATATAGTGTGTATCCCAGATGTAAAAAAAAAGAGAAGAAAAACTCAACTTGTCAAAATTTGTAGAACAGAGCTAAATCACTGCTTAAAGAAAAATTCACAGCATTAAATGCTTATATTAGAAAAAAGAAAGCTCTCGGATGTATAGCCTAAGCTTCAAAATTACAAAAGAACAAAATTTAAAATCAAAAACAAGTGAAAGATAAAATGGATAAAAGAGCAGAAACCAAAAAAACTGAAAATAGAGAAAAATCAACACAACTAAAACCTAATTGTTTGAAAAGACTTAAAATTCTATAAACCCCCTGGCCAAATTGAACAGAAGAAAGAGAAAAGAAATAGATGATCAATATCAGAAATGAAAGTGAGTATCATTACAGATTCTGCCACTATTAGAAGAGTAAGGGAATGTTATTTACAGATTCTGCCACCATTAAAAGAAAAAGGAAATGTTAGAAACAATTTTATACTAGTAAATTCGGCAACTTAGATAAACCAATTCTTTTAAAGACTCAAACTACCAAAGTTCATTCAAGCAGAAGCAGGTAACCTAAGTAATCCTATTTATTTTTAAAGTCTAAGTTTGTAGTTAAAAAACTCTTTCCAAAGAGAAAATTCTAAGCCCAAAAGCCTTCACTGGTAACTTCTACCAAATAATTAAGAAATATTGACCAGGTCTGGTAGCTCACGCCTGTAATCCCAGCACCTTGGGAGACCAAGGCAGGTGGATCATTTGAGGTCAGGAGAGCAAGACCAGCCTGGCTAATATGATGAAACTCTATCTTTACTAAAAATACAAAAAATCAGCCAGGCATGGTGGTGCACACCTGTAATCCCAGCTACTTGGGAGGCTGAAGTGGGAGAATCGCTTGAACCCAAGAGGCAGAGGTTGCAATGAGCTGAGATCACGCCATTGCACTCCAGCCTGGGTGACAGAGTTACACTCTTTCTCAAAAGAAAACAAACAAAAAAAATTCTGTTTTGCTGGTTTTAAAAACTGCTTTTGCCATGCTCATCAAAAGTCTTCTTAGTGATAAATCAATATATTCAGTCCTTCTCTTATTTGATCTCTCTGCAGCATCTGACTACCTCCTAGTACTTAGTCATTCTCTATTCCTGTTTTGCAGGTAGTCTTTCCTCCTCTTTTTTCCTATACCTTTCATGCATCTTATCTGCTACTCAAATCTTACCTGTTACATTTCTAAAATATCTCCAGAGTCTTTCCCTTCCTCCTCTCTACCTTTACTGTCACAGTTCAGACCCTCAATATCTGTTACCTGAACAACTTCGCTTGCCTCCGGACTGGCCTTCCTGACTTTGGTTTTGCTTTGCTCAAATCCATGCTCTGCAGTACTTAACAGAATTATCTTTCGAAGAATATAAATCAGATCAATTCACATTCATGCTCAAATCTTAAATAAGTGTTTCTTCAAACTTTCTACTTTGCATAGTAAGCGTGACCTCAGCTTTTCCTGACTTTCCAGGTTCATCATCATGCTCTCTAGGTTCTGGGATACTATAGTTTTGTTACATGGTTAAAATTCCACACTCCCTCCTGCACTTAAAGATCAGCTCCTTGAGTGCAGAGATGAAGTTTCAGTTATCTTATTATCTTCAGTCATTTTAAGTGTATGGCATTTAGCGAGTGTGATGATTAATTTTCTATGTCAACTTGTCTGGGTCACAGTGCCCAGATATTTGGTCAAACATTATTCTGGGAGTTTTAGCAAGAGTGTTTTGGGGTGAGAGTTACAATTAAAGTGGTGAACTCTGAGTAAAGCAGATCACCCTCCACAAGGTGGGTAGTCCTCATCTAATCAGCAGAAGGCCTGAACAGAACAAAATGCCGATCTCCCTGAGCAAGTGGGAATTCTCCAGTAGACTGTTTTTTGGAATGAAACACCCAACTTTTTCCTGAGTCTCTATTCTGTCAGCTTCCCTTATCAGATTTTACACTAGCCGGAGCCACCACAATCACATGGGCCAATTCCTTAATATATATTCACAGACACATAGATAAATACACATACACATACATACACATACACATACACATACATACACATACACATACACACGCAAACACACACACGTGGATGGTTCTGTTTTGGAAAACTCCTACTTATACATTGGGTATGCAAAAAATGTTTTTCAAATTAATGAAATTAACTAATGCTGGTTTTTTGTTCTGTTTGCTTTCACTTAATTTACAAATAAAAATGTCTGTGAGGAGATTTATTTTGACATGTTTTTATAGATCACTCACCAGTTTTAAGTCAATATAAATGTGTTAAGTTAAAACAACATATATACAATATAAAGACTACAGAAACTGGAACACATGTTAGGTTTCATGTTACAAATACTTTTAAAAGAAGAAAAAGTGTTGACTAGCCAGGTTACAAAAACAGAACCACACAGACAAAGGTCTTTTAAAATCATTCAAAAGAATTGCCTACAAAACAAAAAAGTACATCTAAGTGTTTTTACATAGATAATTTTGTTTCTAACTCTAAACTTCTAAAATGTATTCCGGTAGAAACTAAAAATATCTCTGAAACAGAATTCTTACATGAGAAAATGGCCTGGTCTAAAGCATATTACTTTTGATAAAAGTAATTAGTAAGCTTGTTTTGTGAATGTTCACATAAATAAAGTGTTTGATAGAAATAATGTCTACACATCCACAAATAACGAAATAATACTTAATATAAAATGAAAATAAGCCAGTTTCTACCAAGTTATCTGCCAAGTTCTGAATTCAGGGTTCCCTTGTAACAGATGTAGGTGTTAATGATGTCATTAACTGCTGCAGAAAAAATAGGGGACCATGAACACAGGTCTTGGCAAAAAATAAACACCCCATGAGTTCACCTTTAAATTTAAAGTAAATAGAAAAATTAGTTTATAGAGTGTCTGTCCAATATAGTTCCTGCCCTAAAGGGATGTCAAAATTTTTATTTCCAGTGTTTTCAGCTGTATTCCCCCCAAAAAGGCTAACAACCTGTGTTCAACCTGTGTTCTTAAAAGGCACAAATTAAGACTGTGTCTATATGGCAAAAACAACAAGTCAACAAATTAAAAATGTTAAACTGGTATTATATAAAATATGCACAGCCATAAAACAAACTTTCTGTATTTTCTAATCATAAGATTATAATTACTCATTAATATCTCATCTTACTTTGTAAATAGATGTTACTTTGTGCTTGGATCATCTATCTTTTATTGCCTTAGAAAAGTTAAAACTGATATCTACTTTAATACCAATTAAGATCAAAATTCATTAATCACTTTGATATTATGACAGATAGAATACATACATGTAAACTTAACTCTTACCTTGTCAAGTTGATCCTGAAGATTAGTGGATGCTTTATAACCAAGTTGTAACAGCATTGCTTCTGCAGCATTTTTTTTGGCTATCTTTTTATTAGGTCCTGTTCCTGTAGCAACTTCATTGCCTACCTTCACCTGACAAGATTAAAGAAATAAATTAATGGTAATTGTTTTGGTAAACAGGAACTCCTTACATCATAAAGCAATTCTACTCACCAGCATTTGAAAATATAAAGCTCAGTCTAAAAAACAGCAACTAAGATAACATTTATATAATGTTATATATGTACATAGAGAAAAATATGAAAAAATTGTCCTTAAAATATCAATGGAGGATTTATCTCAGGATGGTAGAATTTTATAGAATTTTTATTTCCATTTACATTTATGTTATTTGATTTTTTAAACACTGAATTTATATTCATATAAGCAGAAAAATAAAATTTACATTTTAACAAGAGTTCATGTTGATTATGACTCCATTTTAGCATTCTTATATTTCAATTAATAAACTGAAAGGCTGAAATTCATATTGGTGCTATTTAAAATACTGTTCACATGGAAACATTATGTAAACATTCACGTTTACAAAGATTTATATTAAATAGTTCCTGAAGAGAATCAATAGACAAGTGCTGCTATAACAACAAAAAGAAAGATTCATGACAAAGTTTACTGCAGGAATGCAGGTTTGGCTTAATATTTGAAATGCATAATGAAAACTATTTGCAAATTAGGAAAAGAAGAAAACTTTCTTAATATGATAAAAGGCATTTTACAAAAAACCTACAGCAAACCTCAGGAAACATTATACTTAATGTTGAATGAAACTGAAATTAGAAACAAGACAAGGATGTTCCTTATTATTACTACTGTTTAACAGCTTACAAAAATCCTAGACAGAGAAATAAGGCAAGAAAAAGTTAAAAAAGAATCAGAAGGGAAAAGAACTTATTATTTATAGCTATGATTTCATACATAAGGAATCTAAGAAACTCCACAGATGAATTATAAGGATTAGATTATAACAAGCTCTCTCAGTATGAAAAAGAGAGCTGCATTTCTACATTCTATCAACATTCAAGTAGAAGATGAAAAATATTAAATCATTTACCTTAAATGAAAATCAAATACCTAGGATGTGCAAATCTTCTACGAGAAACTTTAAGAAAAACCTTATAAATTGAGCAGTATGCCATGTTCAGGGATTGAAGACAATGCTAATGTAATGATATCAGTTTTCTTCAAATTGACCTAAACTCAATTAATTAAACTCAATGAAAACTCAATCAAAATTCTATACATCTTTTCACAAGACCTGAACAAGATGATTCCAAAATTTACATTGAAATGTGAAGTGCTAAGAATAGCCAAGATCCTTTTGAGGAAGACCAAGGTCGGGGGCACTTATTTGTCTCATATCTATACTTATTATAAATTTAATATAAAGAAACATTTATATTTGACTGCATTAAAAATTACTCTTGTTCTTCTAAAAGTACTATTTAAAAAGGAAAGTCACAACACAGGGGAAGGTATTTAAAATGCCATATAACAGCAAAGGACTTGCATCCAGAATATATTGGAGGTTCCCATATTATCAGTTTTTTAAAAAGCGACCAGAAAAATGAGCAAGAAAAGTGAATGGGCAATCCATATCTGAAAAGTTGAATTGTTTTACCAGATGTCATTTTGTTTAAAAAAATTAGAAAGTTTCAATAATAGCTTCATGCCACTTTACCAAACTTCACAATGACAACAAAATTCAGATTTCAGCTATATAGAGTTGATACACCTAGCCATACTTTTCTGTCTCTTGTGTAAAATCCTAACATTGGCTGTTTCATCTGTCCCAGAACACACAGATTCTCATTTGGTATCCACACTTGGGTACGGTTTATCATTTATTCTTACATCCTTATTTAGAGTTTTGTTTGTGTTATTATTTCCATTACTACTTTTAAGCTTCACTGAATCACCCAATTTTAAGGAACTGATAGAATATACAACAAAATGGTAACAAAACACAAACTTAAACAATGTGCAAATGATATGAAAAAGGAACTGCACTCTCTTTTCACAGTTTCAGTAAAGACAAACTAAATGACAGTTCATATAGCACACGAAACACTGAAAATTTAGTCATTACAGAACTTCTGTAACAGCTATCACAAGTTGTATAGTTCAAACCTGTGAAATATTTTTGAAATATTTCATTGCCTTTTCTTCTAAAACTGGAAATTACCACCTTGTGACAAATCAGAATTAGTCTTTGAACCTCACTTTGAGAAGGACAAATCTAGTACAGTCAGGCAAGGTCCTTAGAGCTAGATGAATACACACCACCTGCCATATCAGTGTCTGCCTCAACATGGAAGGCCCTATGGATAATCTACTCAAATCCCTGAGTAGAGCTACCTCTGCTACCTGTTATTTTTTCCAATGCTTGGCTCGTTTCCCCAGCTTCATCAGTCTCTATGTTGTTGCTGGAATCCTTGTTAGTGAAAAGATTAGGTCAGTTATGTCAGAAGCTTCCTCTACTGCTCTGAGGGTCAAAATTTTGGCATGCCAAAGTAAATAGAAGCCAAAGATCTCTGAGCAGTAAATAACTGTAAAACCGTTTTAAATCTGTTTTTACATGCTTTCATATTTTACTCACTCTCAATTTTTCTGCTACTTCATCCCTAAATCTTACTTATCTAGCAAGGCCTGATGCCCTCTGGCTCCAGGCTCCTGCTCTTGGACTTATCAGCTGTAATGCTGTTCCCATCCCTGTAATCACCTTGTCTCTCTGCTAGATTTCCATCTGGCTTATTCCGATACCTTCAAGACTTACTTTTTTTCTAAAGCAAGTGTTTTCCAGATTCATTTTCCTATTTACCCAGCTCTTGCCTCATGCAAATTTTAATAATCACATGGTTCAGTAGTTTGTAAACAGTTATCCCAGAGTAATTTGTTAATATAAAAAGACCACATTGCCAAAGGACTTTCATTCCCTGCTAATAAACACAATGGTCACTCAAAACGTCACTTTATTATAAAAGTTAAGTAAGTATATAAATTTCATAAGTCATCTTCCTTATTTACAATAACTATTGTAAATAAGGTCTCTACATTTAAATGCTAATTTCTATCTATAAAGAAGCTCAATTATTTTAGTATGTGGTAAATTTAAGACTGCCAAATGTTTAACTTTAAACAGCTCATTTACATGAATCAAATCCTCAAAAACCTAAGACATTGAAAAGTTCTGAAATAGGATTTACCAAAAATTTAATTTTTATTTATATCTTAACAACCTGGAGATCTTAATCACAGGCTGAAAAGTATCATATAACACAGTGTGCTGATATGCAATTTGGTTTAGTTATCATTATTTTCTGCTTGAAAGATTAAAAATACTCCTCACCAAAAAAATGAAAATCTTTAACAAATCTGCTTTGGAATAAAATACCGAAATAATGTCATGAAAGATTTTATTTTGTTTATCTAGCAATTAACACAAGTAACTGCATCCATTTTATAATATACAGACTTTTTCTTTGGTAACAGATAAAAATGAACATCTCATCTCTAGATATTTTGCTTCCAAACTGAATTATAACAAATGATAACATTGCCTAAGTAGTTTATACAAAAGCCTTTACTTTGATAAAATTGCTGCAATGCTATAATGAACCCACTGGGGCTTCCAGAAGGGGAAAAAACAATATGAATTCAGTGCAAAAACATTTAAAAGCACAGCCAAATGTCCCCATTTGACTAGAATGTTTATGAATACCCATAAAATGGAAGCTGGCCTAAGATACGCTACATTCCTCTTTCAAAAGGGGTACTCAATACACTCTGTAGAAAAGGATTTGTTTAATAAAGCCAAAGCCAGTTTATATTCCCAATATATGTCTAAACTTTAGGTGATTTTTTTCTCCAAGCTTTGGCATTCAAAGTATATGTTCCAGAATTCTTCAAAGCTAAGAATGTTAAGGAGGAAAATAGTGAACTTATTTTACCAACAAAAATAATAAAACAATCATGTGCTGGATCCTAATAACATCTTGACAATAATGTGTTTACTAACCAGAAAATTCCCCTCATTTTGGGTATCTGGGTTCTCAGGAGTGGCTTATCTATGACTACATTATAAGTTTACACCTTCAAAAAAGCCATACAGACAGGAAGGCAGGCAGAAAATATCTATCAAATGTTTATTAAGGTCCTACTATTTACAAACTACTGTTTGTAAATATTTGTTGATGTTATCTAAATTACATAAAATGTGAGATCCTTGGATTTGATTAACAAGTTTCTTTGACTAACCAATTATTTAAAAACAGTCTGAGACTACGTATGGTGGCTCACACTGGTAATCCTAACACTTTGAGAGGGTGAAGCAGGAGGATCACTTGAAGCTAGGAGTTCAAGACTAGCCTGGGTTACATAGTAAGACCCTGTCTCTATAAACAGCAGCAATAAAACAAAATTTAATTAGCTGGTCATGCTGGTATATGCCTTGTAGTCCTAAGCTATTCAGGACGCTAAAAAGGTAGGATTTCTTGAGCCCAGGAAATCAAGGTTGCAGTGAGCCATGATCATGCCACTATACTCCAGCCTGGCTGAAAAGACCCTGTTGCCCCACCAAAAAATAAAATAAAAAATTAAAAAACAGTTTGGGGAAAATAATAATTTAAATATAGACTGGGTATTAGATGATTCTAATGAATCAAGTCTAATGTAAGAAAAGCTTTCATATTTCTTAGAAATATATACTGAATATGTAAGGCTGAAATGGCAAATGGTTAGAAATTATCTTAGAAATACTTCAGGAAAAGAAGAAAGAAAGGAAGAAAGAGAGGGAGGAGAGAAAAATTAATAGCTGAATCAAGTTTGGCAAAAATCTTAATAAGTGTTGGTTTGGGTGATAGGCATATTAATGGTCCATTACTATTCTCTCCCCGCCTATGGATATGTTTGAAATTATAATAAAAAAGTAAAAGAAAAATTTCTTAAGACTAGGGTTTGAGATGGCAAGTGAAGATGAATAGGTAGGAGTTGAAAAGGAGAGCATTTTAGGCATTCTACCTCATTCCCAGCCCATCTGTCAATATACTAGCAACCGTTCCTCAATTTTCTTGGCCACACAATGTAGCAGTCAGATCTCAGCAACTCTGAATGCGTCAGCCCCCACTATGGTTAGCTAGCCAGCTTGCTCTCTTTTTCTAACTTTCCTGACAGCCCACAAGCTCAGGCTTTTGGCCCTGATCCATCTACTACATCCATCCTCCTAAATTTGTTTCTAATTCTATGTGTCTCCAATTCCCAGTAGTTAATAGACTCCGGCTACAAAATGTAACACAAAAAGTTAAGAGATAGGCATTATACTATAAACTCCATGATAAATAACCTGTGTGAACTCATCGGCCCTTGGAAAACTCACGTTATCTATTTATTGTAACATGCCCTTGGCACTTGTATGTTTCCACCAAGTTAGTAGGTGAGCCTGGACGGAATGAATGCTTTAACTGGAAACACAGTTTTACTTTCTGCTATTAAGTCCTAGTTTGCCCATATGTCATTTCCATCCTGGGGATTTCTAAATCTTTTCAATAGTTTTAAAAGGTTAGAAATACCTGCATCACAAATTCTCGACGTCGAGGCATTCCTCTTTCAGAAAGCAAAACATAATCTGGCTCCTTTTCCTTTTTGGCCTGTTGAATTTGTGCCAGGCGGCTAATAGGGTTCATCCCTTGGCCATATTCTGGTCCAGCCTAAAAATTAATTTAACACAATGTTTTAAAATATGTTTGTGAAACTTGTTACTGAATCCTTAAAGAAACGGTGCTCCTCCCCTCCACCACCATACCCAAAACTGTGACTAGAAAAGATAAATGAGTCATTTATGAATATTTATAAAGGAAAAATCATAAAATAGACCTGTAACCAAGGCTTCTATGGGATTTGGGGTTCAGAGGTATTAACGGCAAGCTGGGTCAACTATGCTTTTAAAATTGGGCAAACGCTTCAGTATACCAGAGGTGCTTCACAATTTCTGTTCATCAAGAAACATCAAAAAGAACTAAGGGGCTGGGCGCGGTGGCTCCCCCCTGTAATCCCAGCACTTGGGGAGGCCAAGGAGGGCGGATCACGAGGTCAGGAGATCAAGACCATCCTGGTCAACAGGGTGAAATCTCATCTCTACTAAAATATAAGTTAGCTGGGTGTGGTGGCGCATGCCTGTAGTCTCAGTTACTCGGGAGGCTGAGGCAGAGGAATCGCTTGAACCGGGGAGGTGGAGGTTGCAGTGGGCAGAGATTGTGCCACTGCACTCCAATCTGGTGACAGAGAAAGACTCCGTTCCCTGCCCTGCCCCCCCCCCCCAAAAAAAAACCAACCATAAACTGGGAGGAGATATTGGCAACACTTCATTTTTATTTTATCATCTTATTTGAGACAGAGTTTCACCATTTTATTTTTTATTTTTATTATTATTATTTTTTGAGACTGAGTTTTGCTCTGTCACCCAGGCTGGAGTGCAGCGGCGCAATTTCAGCTCACCACAACCTTCACTTCCCAGGTTCAAGCAGTTCTTGAGCCTCAGCCTCCCAAGCAGAGGGGAATACAGGCACGCACCACTATGCCTGGCTAATTTTTATATTTTTAGTGGAGATGAGGTTTCATCATGTTACCGGCTGGTCTCGAATTCCTGATCTCACGTGATCCACCTGCCTTGGCCTCCCAAAGTGCTGGGATTACAGGTACAAGCCACAGCACCCACTGAAACACATATAATTTTAAAAAGATATATCCAGTATCCAAAATACTTTTTTTAAAACTCCTAAAAAGCATTAAGAAAAACGGAATATAAAAGGGAAATGGCAAAAGAGATAAACATATGCTTCACATAAGGAAAAATCAGCATATGAAATAATTAACCTCTACAACACAGAAAATACATATTAAAAACCTTAGTGAGTTACTGTTTTACATCCAACAATTTAGCAAAATTTAAGAAGTCTAACAGCCCCAACTGGGAGTTACAGAAACTTTTATATAATACTGGGAGTACTATAAATGGGAAAACAAGCTGGCAACATCCAGTAAAGCCTGAGGTGGTACATCCTACCCCCAGTAGCCTATTCCTAGGCACATATATTCCTTAGAAAACTGTAACTCATGTGCACAAGCTCATATGTATAGGAATATCCACAGATGCATTATTTGAAATAGAAAAAAGACCTAGAATATTCATCAATAAAAGAACAGATAAATTACAGCATGTTCATACAATGGAATTGTATACAGCAGTGAAAATGAATTAATTATTGCTACATGCATCAAGATGAACTTCAGAAAGATAATGGTAAGTAAAACAGGCAAGCACACAATAATATATATAGTATGATACATTTTACATAAAGCCTGCTAAAACTACGAAATACTGCTGAAATTAAGATCTGAACAGTCAATACATCATATTCATGGATCACAAGACTTAACAATAAGATGTCAATTGTCCTCAAAATCCCAGTAGGCTTTTTCTTTTTTCTGTTCTGAGACAGAGTCTCACTGTATTGCCCAGGCTAGAGTACAGTGGCATGATCTCAGTCACAGCAACCTCCACCTCCCAGGTTCAAGCAATTCTACTGCTTCAGCCCCCCAAGTAGCTGAGACTAAAGGCACACACCACCATGCTTGGTTAATCTTTGTATTTTTAGTAGAGAGAGTGTTTTACCATGTTGGCCAGGCTGGTCTCAAACTCATGACCTCAAGTGATCCTCCCACCTCGACCTCCCAATGTGCTCAGATTACAGGCATGAGCCACCATGCCTGGCCCAGTAGGCTTTTTAAAATTTAATGTATAAGCTGATACTAAAATTTCATATGAAAATGCAAAGGACAAAGAACCAGAACTTTGGGGGGAAAAAAAGACTCAAACTACCTAATTTCAAGATTACAAAACAATGGCATTCAAGACAGTATGTGTAGTATTGGTATAAAGATAGACAAAGGGACCAATGAAACAGAATAGTGAATGCCCAGATACAGACAGACAGACACACAAAGTCACATGATTTTCAACAAAGGTACAAAAGGAATTCAGTGGGGTAGTCTTTTCAGCCAATAATGTTAGGACAATTGGCTATTCAATTAGCTAAAAAGAAAAAGGAAAAAAAATATCTTCAAGCCAAATCTCGTATCATTTATAAAAATAATTAACTCAAAATGTCTCATAGACATAAATGTAATGACTAAAACCATAAGACCTCCAGAAGAAACATTTTCGTGACTTGGTTAGGTAACAATTTCTTAGATACAACACCAACATCACCTTCCATGTAAAAAACTAATAATAAAACAAAACGATAATACAAATAATAAAAAATAAATCTTCAAAAATAATTTTGAAGATTTATTTAATTTATTTTTTCTGTTCTTTGAAAAAGACAAGACACAGGATTGAAGAAAATTCTGTTTTTTGAAAAAGACAAGACACAGGATTGAAGAAAATTCTGTTCTTTGAAAAAGACAAGACACAGGATTGAAGAAAATATTTGCAAACTACATGTGATAAAGCACCCGTATCTAGAGCGTACAAGGACCTCTACAAATTCAATAAATTTATCATTATTTGAAAAAAGCAATTAATATTTTTTAAGTTGGCAAAAGATTTAAATAAACACTTCATGGCCAGGTGCAGTGGCTCACACCTGTAATCCCAGCACTTTGGGAGGCCGAGGCAGGCAGATCACGAGGTCAGGAGATCGAGACCATCCTGGCTAACATGGTGAAACCTGATCTCTACTAAAAATACAAAAAAAAGTAGCCAGGCGTGGTGGCGGGCGCCTGTAGTTGCAGCTACTCGGGAGGCTGAGGCAGGGGCATTGATTGGACCCAGGAGGCGGAGGTTGCGGTAAGCCGAGATTGTGCCACTGCATTCCAACCTGGGCGACAGAGTGAGACTTGTCTCAAAATAAATAAATAAATAGATCCAAGATGGCCAAATAGGAACAGCTCTGGAGTGCAGTTCCCAGCGAAAACGCAGAGGGTGAGTGATCACTGCATTTCCAAATGAATTTTTACTGCCCACAGACCAGGAGATTCCCGGGCAGAAAAGCAACAGGAGTCTCCAGCTGGGCTGTTTCAGCCGGCACAGCGGGTCTCCACACAAAAACTCACACAAATGCAGTAGCCGTTTCAACTGGCAACTGGAACGCCTGGGAGACAGAGTCGCTCGTTCAACTCAAAAAAATGGGGCTGAAACAGGGAGCCAGGTGATCTGTCTCAGCTGCTCCCACACCCACAAAGACCAGCAATCTGAAACGCTCTGGATTGAGTTTCATAGCAAGCACAGCTGGACCCGGGACATCCAGCTCTGGGCGGGGGAAGAGTGTCTGCCATTATCGAGTCAGTCCACCACTACTGAGGCAGTCCGCCATTACTGAGGCAGTCCACCATTACTGAGGAAGTCCGCCATCACCGAGGCAATGCACCATTACTGAGGCAGTCTGCCATTACAGAGACAGTCCACCATTACTGAGGCAGACTGCCATTACCAAGGCAGTTCTAACTATACTACTATAAACAAAACTGCAAGGACGTTCACACAGCAGCTGGGCAGAGCCCACGGCAGCTCAGCAACGCCTCTGCTGGCAGACTGTGACTAGGCTACCTCCTTGTTGGGCAGGGCATCTCTGAACAAAGGCAGCAGACAGACAGGAACTTATAAATGAAGCCCCACCTCCTCAGGGCAGATCACCTAGGAAAAAAAGGCGGTTATGAGTTCCGCTGTAGCAGACATAAATGTACCTGCCTAGGAGCTCTGAACAGAACAACAAGAGCTCACAATCAGCATTTGAGCTCCTATAAGGGACAGACTGTCTCCTCAAGCAGCTCCCCAACCTCCACATAACCAAAGAGACACCTCATACAGGAGAGCTCAGGCTCACATCTGGCAGTAGCCTTCTGGGACAAAGATAAGAGAAGAAGAAACTGGCAGCAACCCTTACTGTTCTGCAGCCACTGCAGGTGATCCCCAGGCAAGCAGGATCTGGAGTAGACCTCCAGCAGTCCTACAGCAGTGGTGCCTGTTAGAAGGAAAAACTAAAAAACAGAAAGAAATAACTTCATGAGAAACAAAAAGGACGTCAACTCAAAGACCCCATCTGAAAGCAACCAACCACAAAGACCATGTAGATAAATCCACAAAGATGGGAAGAAACCGGCGTAAAAAGGATGAAAATATCCAAAACCAGAACGACTCTCCTCCTCCAGGGATCACAACTCCTCACCAGCAACGGAACAAGGCTGGATGGAGAATGAGTCTGATCAATTAACAGCAACAGGCTTCAGAAGGTGGGTAATAACAAGCTTCTCTGAGCTAAAAGATCATGTTCTAACCCAATGCAAAGAAACTAAGAACAGTGAAAAAACTTTGACAAAATGCTAACGAGAATAAACAGCTTAGAGAGGAATATAAATGAATTGAGGGAGCTAAAAAACAACACGAGAACTTTGCAAAGCATACACAAGTTTCAATAGACGAATCAACCAAGAAGAATAAAGGATGTCAGAGATTGAAGATCAACTCAATGAAATAAAACGAGAAGGCAAGATTAGAGAAAAAAGAGTAAAAAGAAATGAACAAAGCCTCCAAGAAATATGGGTTTATCTGAAAAGACCTAATCTACATTTGATAGGTGTACCTGAATGTGGCGGAAAGAATGAATCCAAGCTGGAAAACACTCTTCGGGATATTAACCAGGGGAAT